TTGTTTGTCTAATTTACAAATGCTCTTTTTGTTTTACGTGTCAAATTCTGACTTGTCATGTTTATTAAAAAATAATTATTAACATAATAAATTTATTATTATACTCTGATACTTTGGTAGAGTTTTAAATATATTTATTTATTATATTTTTCAAAAATATTAATTCAAGATTAATAAATTAAATGCATATAATAAAATAAATAAATATATTTTTACTTATCAAAAATCAAATTAAAAGAAATTTCTATCTCCACAATTGTTTGTCAGGGTAAGGCCATATATTTTATTTCAGAAAAATTTAATACAAAGTGTAATTTGATTAATATAACTCTATTATAGCAAGAATATCAAAAATCTACATAACTTTCAATTGAACAAATGGAGTAATTATTAAGGAAAGAATTGAAAAGAATAACTAATTATTTTTAATTATTTAAATTAATAATTAATTTTAAACATTTACTTTTATTATATCTGACAAATAATTATGGACGAAGAAAAGTATTTGATAAGTATGTTAATTCAATATTATCATTCCTGTACTGTTTTTGGGAAAATGAAAAACATGATACCATCTTTTCTCACTCATGAGTCTTAATGGTAGGGATGGCAACAAGGGGGTGATTGTGGTTAAATCCGTTTAAATTTGTTAAGATTTTAATCCGTTTTACTTTATTCTGAATAATATATTTTGTTATTTTCAATGTGCTTCATCCAGCTCATTCCATATATGTTGTAAAAAACATTTCAAATAATAGATTCAATAAATTTTTAACTTGAGAAATTATAATATAATTAATTGTTAATCGCTAAAATTAATATGTTATAACATTATTTTAATGTTACTATATTTTATAACTCTTTTAGATATGTCAACAACTTTTTTTTTATGGATTTGAATTTGTTAATAACAAAAAATCAATTGCAAGTAATGAGATAATTTTTTCTTCTTTCTAGTTACTTAGTCATTCAAAAATAGTTTACGTAAAGAATTTATTTTAATAAATAATGTTATATCACTCTTATAATATATAAGAAATTAAAATTAAGTTTGCACCCTTACGAAATCACACATATCCAAAATTTGTCTTACCTATACACTAATTTAAAAAAACACTTCAATTCGCCCTACACAATCTTAAACCTATTTCGCCTCGCATAATCTTAAATCCACCCCATCCCGCCCCATTATCACCCCTAGTCTTGAGTTATCAGATACTAAACTATTTAAAATTATCTTTTAAAAGAATTATATTTCTTTTATTTGTTACCAACAAAAATTATCACCAACTCATATCACTCAAAAGGTCTGCTTTAACCTCTAATTTATTAACCTTATTGGGTTTTAATTATAACTTCTTAATATTTTTTCTCTTTTTATCTAAATATACACTTAATTATTTATAAAAACCCACACACAAATGAACCGTATTCATAAAGTAAGAAATATTTTATATTTTACAAATTGATTATTGGGGCAGAATTAGAAGAGAGTGAGAGCTTGTTTAGATTAGCGGTCGATTTTTTTAGAACTATTTTTGTTAAAACAATTATTTCTAAGAAAAAATGTTTTTGGAAAAAGTAATTAGTGTTATTGAAAAAAATATATTTGATAAGTAGATTTATTTGGCTAATTTTTTCAATAAATAGTTTTAAGAGTCATATTACAAAAGAGCAGGTATCAATCTATTTTCTTATTTAGATTGCTTTATAGATAAATTATTTAAATATCTATTATTACAAAATTTAATTTCATTTTTTATTTGTATTAAATTAATTTGACATATTCTTAAGAAGTACGCGTTCGTCCTTTTTTACTTGTTAAATTTTAAATTGACATACCAATTGAAAAAATAATGATTGGTATAATGAGTTTAGCATTATGTTCCTATTAAATAATAGATTCTTAAACATATTTGCTCGCTACATTTTTCAAAGATATTTACTCAATGTTAATAAATTGATGTATAATAGGAACAAAAATAATTGTCCTTCTTTGCTTTGTCTAAAATAACAAGTAAAAAAAGAAATCAAATTAAAAAATATTTAACAAGTAAATAGAGATGGGAGGATAATTATTAAAAGACTAACTTTATAATATCATCATTTTCATATAACAAATTTGATATTTTAAAATAATTATATCTAATAAAAAAAATTAGGAACGAACTAATAAATCATATCTTAGTTTTTAAATTTGACAAGCAAAATTATATTTCTATTTTTATAAGTAAAAGTGAATAAAATGATTGATAGTAAACTCTATTTTTTAATGTTTCTCTGGATTATAATAGAAAATTTTGTATCTAACTTTTTTTTAAAAAAAAAATAAAGACAGATAAAAGTATAGATACAAAGTATCACATTTTTTTCTAGATGAATTGGACCAACAATTTATCAAAAACACTTGTGAACGTTTTTTTTTTTTTGTACTAACAATTTATCAAAACTATTTATGGATGTTTTATTCTTTTTCTATTAACAATTTATCAAAAACACTTGTGAATGCTTTATTTTTTTATACTAACAATTTATCAAAAAGATTTATAAATGCTTTGTTCTTTTTCTACTAACAATTTATCAAAGACACCAATGAGCCCATTATTCTTTTTGTTTTATCTAACATACCACCATGTTTAGATTGTTTTTTTAAAAAAAAGAAAAAAGGAACAACTAATATTAGTGTGTTGATGAGGTTTGAACTATTTAAGTAGATCTAAAATAATTTCTTAATTACACAACTATAAGATCTATTCTTTTAACTATTCTCATCGTAAGAAATTCATTTTTACTATATATAAATAAATTTCTCCTCACCTAATGGATAATAATATTTTTTTTCTTTTTATAATAAACTATAGCATTTTCAATTCATTAGCAACTAATTTACTTCAATTTTTTCTCTATCGAATAGAATCATGATTTATATTTTTTTACGTAAATTTTATTTAAAATTGTTGAGGTTAATATTTTTTTCATAAGAATAATTTGAAGAAAAAATAGCGCGGAGAGAGAAATATAATGAGAAAATGGGTTAAAAATTTAATTAAGACATTCGTTTTGTTATATATATAAATAAACAAAATTAAACCTGATAAATTTTTAGTTACTTAAAGAACTAAAACTGATGAATGTGTAGTTAAAAGATTAAAAATAAGTATATAATTAAAAGACTTTTCTAGACCTACACTAAAAATTTAAGGTTGATTTATGATATTTTCTCATTGTTGAATGTTGACAAAAATGAATTGTAGTGCTTCAATTTTATTATTTGTCAGAGTTTGACTTGGTATATCCATCTAAAAAATTATAATATTGATATTTTATCAAACAATTCTTGTTTACCTATTGAATGATGTCTTAGAAAATGAAAAATTTTACTATGAATGAACTTATACTTATATAAGGGTATTTTTATATTAATTTTAATGTGATATATGAGACCTACAATGTTAATTCAACTTGTTCTCAACCATTTTTTTCTCTTTCCTCACTTTTTTCTTTCATTATGTTTCATTTTCTATCTTTTTGATAATATCTATTTTAAAATCAATTTTATTAGTCCTATCTCATTTTCACTTTTGCTTATCATAGTAATAAAATTTTCTTTTCTCTTATATATTTTATCAAACAAAAAATATATATTATTTTTAAATATTATTTTAACACTAAATAAATGCATAAAATATTAAAATCAAACTTAATATTTTAAAACATAAATAATAAGATCAATTTAATAAATTAAACCTCTAACAAAAGGCAAGTGAATTTATATATAAAATAAATAGTGGAACACATATTATTAAATTATATACTATTGATACCGAAAGTATGAGTCCACGATTATTATTATTATTATTGTTGTTGTTGTTGTTGTTGTTGTTGTTGTTGTTGTTGTTGTTGTTGTTTGACCATAAGTTCTAAATATATATTTTTAGTTGTAATTTATGGAGCTGACATTAAAAATGAAGTTATTTTTTTGTAACAAATGTTTAAAATGATTTTTAGTTGTATTGGTTATATATTTTGTAACAAATGTTTAAAATGATGTTATTTTTTTAAATGTATTTAGATACAATTTTAAAAGTGCAAAATGAACTTAAAAATAGATTATTAGATGTTCAAGTTTTTTAATATAACTTCAAATATAATAAAAAATTACATTTCAAATTTTAGTAATCAAACATTGATTTTAAAAATAGTTTGAAATATTATTACGAAAAAATGAATATTTTTTTGTTAGAATGAATCCTAAAATTAGAAGTTTGAAAAATATATGAGGCATAAAAATAATTTATTTTAAAATACGATAGATAAATGAAAAAATAATAGGAAAGGAAACAAAAAGAATTTAGTAGACAATTTTTAAAATATAATTAATAATAATAATAATCGTCGTAACACTCATATATTTTATGCCAATAATATATAATTTAATAATATGTGTTCCACTATTTATTTTATATATAAATTTACTTGCATTTTATTAGAGGTTTATCTATTAATTTAGTTTTATTAGTTAGGTTTTAAAATATTAAGTTTGAATATTAATATCCTATACATTTATTTAGTGATTAAATAATATTAAAAATTAATATATATTTTTTATTTGATAGAATATATAAGAGAAAAGAAAAATTTATTTCTATGATAAGTAAAAATAAAAATAAGGTAATAATAAAATTAATTTCAAAATAGATAATTACCAAAAAGATAGAAAATGAAACAAAACATGAAAGAGATGTACATTTAATTCAATATTTTACTAATATATTTATTTAATAAGATATAACGCGAATTTCATATTTTCTTTTTGCTTTTTCAATCAAATTTTATATTCCCTCTCCTCTGATTTCTTTAACAAATTTAAAGGTCATTTCATGTGTTAAAAAGTGAATGCATTATCGTATAACTATTATTAGTGGTACCTAGCTCAAAATAAAAAAAATTTCGAAAGTGATATAAAAATAGAAATATATTTTAGAAATAAGTGATAAAAGTAAAACTGTAGAAGATTATATATTATGTTACAATAGAAGCAGGGTTGGATAGAAGAAATTGAGGTCCACTTATATGGAGATATTCAAGTCTAGGGTTCAGTTCCAGTAATCCCACTATGCCATTGTAGAACAAGGTAAGTGTGATGTCCAAGTTTTCATCTTTTCATTCAACAATACCTCAATTTGCTGTTTAGTTTGTGTATGATTTAGTTATTTTGAATTTGTCATTCACCAACTGAGGAGAAGGGAACTACTAACTAGGGGGGAAAACAGAGGAAGATAAATTACATAAAAGTCAACAAGTCTATGATTAGTATTTGATTAGTATTTTCTCTTACTATTCAAATTGCTTTCCAAATATATAATTTAGAGGTGATTGAGCCCAAGATCTATTCTTTTCTATATGAACCAAGGGAGAAGTATTATAGAGTTTAAAGTCAACTCCTTTCCCTTTTCAGATTCCCTTTCAACAAAGAATGGAATTCTTAGCTATGTGTGTGGGAAGAGTTACAGATTGCTTGATGCAGCCACTTGCGCAACAGATTGGGTATTTCTTTTACTACAACAGCAACATCACATCTTTGGATAATGAATCTCACAAGCTGGACAATATTACAAGTGGGGTGCAGCAAAGAGCGGAGGCTGCACGGAGAAACTTGCAAGTCATTTCACAAGATGTTGAAGCTTGGTTAAATAGTGTTACCAAGATTAATTCAGATGTGGAAGGTGTAATGCATGGTAGAGTTGAGGTTGAAAGAGGTTGTTTTTATGGTTGGTGTCCAAATTTGAAGTCACGGTACTCGTTGAGCAAGAGAGCTAAGAGAATTACACTAGCGGTGATTGAACTTCGAAATGATGGAAAAGATTATGTTGATTTCTCCTATCCTGCACCACCTGTAGTTGAAATTCAAGCTATGAGTGAGGAGTTTGACTCCAGAAAATTGAAAGAGGAAGAGGTCATGGAAGCTTTGAGAGATGAGGATGTCTCTGTTATTGGGATTTGTGGTATGGGTGGTGTAGGTAAGACGACACTAGCTGAGAAAATAAGAGTAAGGGCGAAAAAAGAAAGGTTTTTTGATGAAGTTGTCATGGTCACTGTCAGTCAACAACCAGACTTGAAAACAATTCAAGCTGAGATAGCTGGAGGAGTTGGCCTAACATTCCAAGGCGACAATTTCTGGAATCGTGGAGATCAGTTGCGTTCAAGGTTAATGGGTCAGGACAGCATCCTTATAATCTTGGATGATGTCTGGGAGGCTCTTGATCTGAACAAACTTGGAATTCCTAGTTGTAGCAATCACAACCATCAGTGCAAAGTAACATTGACAACGCGACTCCGAGATGTTTGTGAAACAATGGAGGCTCGAAAGATCATAGAAGTTGGAATCTTACCTGAAAAGGAAGCATGGGTCCTTTTCAGGCAGAAAGCCGGTAATTCGATAGCTGATCTTTCTCTTCATGACACAGCAAAAGATGTTGTGAAAGAATGCAAGGGGTTGCCACTTGCAATTATTACAGTTGCAGGAGCGCTAAAGCGTAAAAGCAAGCCTTCATGGGAGGATGCCCTTAAACAATTACAAAAATCCACACCAAAAAATATCCCAGGAGTGATTAAAAATGTGTATCAATCTCTCAAGCTAAGCTATGATCAGTTGGAAAGTGATGAAGTCAGGTACCTGTTTTTGCTTTGTTCCTTGTTTGAGGAAGATAGTAATATCTGGCATGAACAATTACTTAGATATGGAATGGGGCTTGGCATCTTTTCGGAAATTGAAAATTTAGAAGAAGCAAGAAAGAGGGTGTGCCATCTGCTAGAAACATTGAAGGATCGTTTCTTGCTATCCCAAGGTTCAGGAAAAAATTATGTCAAAATGCATGATGTGGTCCGAGACGTGGCTATATATATCGCCTCTGAGGGAAGGCATGTTTTTATGGTAAGTCACAGTGTGAACTCAGAAGAGTTCCCAAGAAGAACCTCTTACGAGCCATACAGTCACATGTCAATTGTTGCACAAAAAATTGATGAGCTTCCTAAACCAATATCTTTCCCAAGACTTGAGTTTCTAATGTTAAAACTATTAGAAGAGCCGTTCAAATTACAGGATGATTTTTTTATTGGAATGAGTAAACTTAATGTCTTAAGCCTGAGTGGATATGAGGACTCCATTTTAACCTTTCCAAATTCTGTTCAGTTATTGTCAAATCTGCGCACACTGTCTCTGATGAATTTAAAGTTGGATGACATATCAATTATTGGCGAACTTGTCACTTTAGAGATTCTCATTATTAGAGATTCTACTATAGATGTGCTTCCAGTGGAGATTGGAAATTTGAGCAATTTAATTTTGTTAGAGTTTTGGAACGAGAGAGTACCACTTGAAAATATTTCACCTGGAGTCTTATCAAGACTAGTTCGATTAGAGGAACTAACACTAGTGGAATGTTCTGGAGATGTAATTCACAGTAACTTGGACATTTCCTCCAATTTGACACGGTATTATCTAAATATGGGCCAACAAGTTCATAGTTACCACGATAGTTCGCTCATGGATAATTACAACAGGATTATGGTCCTCAATGTCATTGAGACCACCCCATTGGGTGATTGGATCTGCCGCATGTTGAAGAAGAGCGAACTTGTACATTCAAGAGGAAATGGTTCCAAGAATGTGCTGACCGAGTTGCTGGGACATGGAGTTCAGAACATGAAAGATCTCCTCCTGGCTGATTGTGATTCAATGACACATCTCTTGAATATCCACTGTCAGAATAATATTCCATTCCCCAAACTTGAAAGACTAGAGGTAATTAGATTTTGCAGTCTACGCTCTCTTTTTAGCCTGTCCTTCGTTGTGGGGAGTTCTTCAAACTCGACAGTAGCTTGCAGTAATGATGAGGAAGATGAGATCTCTCAGAGGAAACATATCAGATCAGAAGGAAACATGGTCCAAGTAATGAAGTTCCCCAATTTATATTACTTGGACCTTCATTTTCTGGAGTGCTTCACTCACTTTTGCACTGACGCTGTTGAGGGCATTGATTTTCCTCAGTTACAAATCTTGCGCTTCTGGGAGTTACCGGAGTTCCAAAATTTCTGGCCTATAGACAACAACTCTACGGCCGGCTCAAATCCTCTCTTTGATGAAAAGGTGTGCTTCTACTATTCTATGTGATCATGAAAAACTATCTTTTTCAGTTTGTACTTGGAGGGGTTTTATGAATTAAAATATCACTTTACGCTCGAGTATTAAAGATCTTTACTTACACAATGATTATTGAAATATTATAAAGATCTATTTTTTACCTAGGTAAGTAAAATAAAGCCGGTTTATCATAGTTCATGGTAAGTGGAAGCTTGCACAGAGGAATAACAGAACAAAAAACAAACTTTACAACACTAATGTTATCAAAATCTTACTTGCTGACCTATGTGCTTATATGTCTACCAAACATGGTGTCAATTAGTTCGCTGCATCCTGTAGTCAATATGATCACATACATATAAAGAAATATGTCTTCAAGTAACAAAAACAAAATGTAGACGCCGACGTATTCTCCAACCACAATGACAAAAAGTCTGAAGGGAAAGAGATGGAATATTAAAGGACATCATACTCACTTTTGCTTCTAGGAAACAAGTCGGTCAAAAACGACATTTTTATTTAATGCGATAAAATATTTCAGTAACTTTATTGTTTTAAGTGGGTAAGGTTTAGTGACGTTAATGCAGCAATAGATTGTTCTTGTGACTTTACTGTTAAAATGGGTAACTGGGTAAAATTCAGCTGCTATATGTGAAAGTAACCCTATCGTAAAGCAGAGCCAGATCTAGCTTAAAGCATTGGGTTGACGTGAACCCCAATAGTATTTGTTGCCTACCATGTATTTGTATTGAGAAATTCCTAATATCTATAATTACCTGCAACTCCGAATCCAGTAGTTATTGTATGTTAACTTGTGGCTTGTTATAGGAACCTATAACTTCAAATCCTGGATTAGCCTAAGTTGAACCCATGAATCGTGATGCCTTTTCGTCAGTTTGTACTTGAAGTAAATTTCATGAATTAAAAATGCCAGTTATTCACTTCCTGTTACCTTGATGTAGATGAGATATGGTTCATTTCTTGATTATACTTGAATCTATATTGAATTTTCATCCCTTATGAAAAATACAAAGCCTTCAACGTTTGTAGGTTTTGTGTCCCAACCTGGAAGAGCTACAACTTAATGGGGCTAACAGCATAGCTGCTCTATGCTCTCATCAACTTCCAACAGACTACTTCAGCAAACTTAAAATCTTGCTACTATGGAACTGTGGCAAATTGAGAAACTTGATGTCTCCATCAGTGGCCAGAAGTGTTCTGAATCTACAAATTCTGAGCATAGAAGCCTGCCAATCGATGGAAGAAGTGATCACAGAAGAGGAACAACTAGTACAAGAAATGACTACTAAGCCCTTATTTCCCCGATTAGAAAAATTGGTGCTCGAAGAGCTACCAAAGCTGGGGCATTTCTTTTTGACGAAGCATGCTCTTGAATTTACATTTCTCGGAGAAGTGAGGATTAACAGCTGCCCTGAAATGAAGACGTTTTCCCTTGGATCTGTGAGTACACATAGTCTGGACAGGTTGATTGTGGACTATGCTGAGGTGAAAGATAATCTCAATAAAGCGATACAACAGCTCTTCATTTTGAAGGTTTGTCTTGTACGTCATCCTATAACTAACTATATTTGTCTCAACTCTCATGCATTATCACACACCTCTTCTGGTGCTCTCTTTCCATTTTAACTAATAACTACTAAATAATAATAGTAATATTCAGAGACTTATTTATGTTCGTCACTTGAAGCATTTTTTTTTACTTGCCATTATATTTCCAATTAGAAAGCTAAAGCATTCTTCATTATCTTATAAGTAATAATTGTACTTACTAAGGTAATCAGCTCTGTTCTTTTGCAATCTCTGCTCCCAGGAACAAGAAGCTTGTGATGGTAACTGAGCCGAAGCTAGTGATGGCAAAAGCTAGCGTTCTAAGAATTTGAAGCTAGGAAGGTAATAGGCACTAGATGAAATAATCAAAGTGCGTGCAAGTTAGCTTGAACATCACATGAAACCTATGCCTATAGAGGTAACAAGCAGAGGTGGATCTACATTGTAACTTATGGGCTCAATAAAACCAGTTGCTTTTGCTCAGGACCTGTTTATTAGGAAATTCACTAAATATTTGTAAAACAGTTGATTGTGAACATTAGGGGTGCTCAAACCGACCTGAAAAACTGCACCAAACTGACAAAAATCAGGCCGACTAATTAAGCTTGGTCTGGCCGTTTGGTATTGAGCAATGAAAAATTGAATGAAAGAAGTGATCGCAGAAGAGGAACAACAAGGAGAAGTAATGACTGATGAACCTTTATTCCGTGTTGTAAGCACTGTACCTCGTGGGGCATTTCTTTCAGATGAACCATGCTCTTGAATTTCCATTTCTCTGAAAAGGTGGAGATTAGAAGCTGCTTCGAAATGAAGATGTTTATCCCGCTGGTATCTGTGAGTACAGAGAGTCTGAGAAGTCTGGTTGTAGAAAAACCAATCAGAAATCAATGCTGAGGTGAAAATGATCTCAATAAGGCAATACAGAAGATGTTCAATTCTAAGGTTTGTCTTGTGCCACTGTATAGCTAACTATATTTTGTCACATGCATTAATATTCTCCTGCTATTTTCATCTTAAATAGTTGGAAATAATATTCAGACGTTTTATCTTTGTGTGTTGCTCGAAGCAGGTTTCTTTTACTTCGGTAAATATTTTCAACCTGAATTCTGAAGCATCAGCATACTCTCTTTTTTTCCCCTTTCTATAGCAGTTTTACTTTCTGAGCTAGTCGTCTCTGTTCTTCTGCAATCTCGGGTCCCAGAAGAAGCTAAGCTAGTATTGGTGACGGACCTGAAGCCTAATAATGCAAGTATGCTTTCATAATCTCAAGCACAACTAAGATTGTGTTTAAGCATTTTACATGAAGACCTTAGCTGTAATCAGTAAGTTCTCTTTTCTTTCTATAGCAGTTTTACTTTCTGAGCTAGTCGTCTCTGTTCTTCTGCAATCTCGGGTCCCAGAAGAAGCTAAGCTAGTATTGGTGACGGACCTGAAGCCTAATAATGCAAGTATGCTTTCATAATCTCAAGCACAACTAAGATTGTGTTTAAGCATTTTACATGAAGACCTTAGCTGTAATCAATAAGTTCTCTTTTCTTTCTATATACACTGTTGATCCCATTTGATTTTAGAGCAAGTTGTTCTCAAATCTCAAGGGCAATTCCAGGCAAGCTCTTTTTGTTGTTGTTGATATTAGAGCATGCAATCCTCAAATTGTGGCCATGAGTAATGACAATGCAAGAGTTAAGCAGGGAAGGCAATCATCTTGAACATTAGTTGGAAGGTGTAGTGAGTTCTGTTGCAAAGCTATCGACAGAACGTGGTCCAGAGTACAAATGTTGTCACGATCCAAAATTTTGATAGTCCCACTCGTAGTGGCATGTACTCCTAACCCAGTAGGCAAACCATATTTTATTTTTAGTAAATAAGCGGAAAGTAAATGTGAGAAATATAAATAAGTCATAAGCTAATACAATTCAGTTAAGAGGATATAAAAAAAAAAACGAATAATGACACATTTTAAGTTTCATGTTGTACACACTGGAAATAACCTATTATAACAACCATCAATGTGAAATAAGACGCTAGGCGACTTTTTTTTTTTTTTTAGCTTTAATTATATTGATACGAGCTGCAGAGTACCATATATATAATATATAGAACATATGAATCCTCAATGTAGCTTCTGAAATCAGAAGAAGATTCGATCTTCACAACCTGAAATGATTTCCAATCAGCGGTTCAGTATATATAGCCATTTTGGTAAACAATCCCATTATATATTTTCAAATAGATCGGTCACTTTTCAATTCATCATTCATGTAAATATGTGATCTGGATAACCCTTGTCAACCTGGAAGAAGAAAATTATTCAACTTTAAATTGTTAATCGGGTGTAAACATCACAATCAGCAGAATTGAAAGAAAAAAAGGATTGTTCAGGATAACGATAATACCATTATGCCTTCACTTTGAGTGAGACCATTTTGTGACCGATCAGCCATCCAGTTTAGCCTTCCAATCATCTAAATTGATAATTTATATGTTATAAACGGGGAATACTGACAATAAATGCAAAGGGGCTTGCTGTGATTTTCTCATTCCATCCACAAACATGAAAATCAAATGCTCACGTCTCATGGATGATTTCCAATAATAAAATAGGAAAGTAAAGTAGTAAATAACTTGAGCTAAAAACTATACACAAGCTCTACAGACGAACAAAATATCAAATCTTAAACTTAACAAAGCATTAGAATAGAAGAAAAGTTAGTTTGCACACATTTGGAGAACCTTATGTCCACTAGCTAACTCCTAATACTAACTTCCAAACACATTTGGTTAGCAGCAGTCGTTACGACGTTATACTACACAAAATTCCACGTAAACACATCTATAGTTCTAATAACCGTATAAACTGTTGTGCTTCACATGTTTCTCTTCTCATAATTAGGTTTCTGTGTTTCAGGTCTTATGTTTTGGCTAAACATCTCAAGACTACTTGCAGCCAAATGTTGTTGTTTTCATCTATATATGCAGCTTCAACTTGGTAGAGCAGACACTAAAAAGAGTGCGGAATCAATGCAGTTCATTCAGCTTACCTCCTGAAGTCCCAAGAATACACATTCTTTTAAAATGGTATAAGAACCAGTTTGGTTTAATGCCTGAACGTTCTACTACTTAAGTCGTTCATCTTGTGAGGAGACTGATGGAGATTTATAGGGAGAGGAAGTGGGATTTGCATATGGTGTTCATTGACCTTGAAAAGGCCTATGACAAAGTCCCGAGAGAAGTCCTTTGGCGATATTTGGAGTCTAAAGGTGTTCCAATGGCTTACATTTGGGCAATAAAGAACATGTACGAGGAAACCAAGACCTGGGTAAGAACAGCGGAGGAGACATGGAAGTTGGAACACTTCCCAGTCGGTTGATGTATCATGGAGTATGTTATTTGCAGATGGTATTGTTTGGATCGAAGAGACTCGCTGGGAGTTAATAATAGGTTGGAGGTGTGAAGATAAGACTTTAGAGTCTAAAGAGTTCAGGTTGAGTGGGACCAAGACCGAGTATTTGAAGTGTAAATTCAGTGACGTGACGCATGAGGCAGGCGTGGAAGTGGGACTTGATACAGAAGTTGTCCCCATCAGAGAAAGATTTAAGTATTTAGGGTCTCTGATCCATGGAAATGCGGATGATGTCACACATTTTATTGGTGCGGCATGGATGAAGTGGAGGCTTTAGTCCGGCGTTTTGTGTCACAAGAATATACCACCAAAACTTAAAGGTAAGTTTTACCGAGTGGTGGTTAGACCAGCTTTGTGGTATGGGGTGGAGTGTTAACCAGTGTAGCCAGTCTAGAACTCCTAGGTCCAGCCGTCCAGAAGATAGAAGTGGCGCAAATGAGGACGTTGAGATGGATGTGAGGGCATACTAGGAGTGATAGGATTAGAAATGTGGAACCTCCAGAACCAGTGTCTAGGGGAGCGCAAACCAAAAAAAGCAACAATGTCCCGCTGCACGCTTGAAGCGAAGTGGTCGCTTCATTAATCATTGAAGTGAAGCAAAATTTAAAGCAAAAAAGACCAAAATAAATAGAGACAAGGTAAAAGCAAAAGTTCATATCAAAAACTAAATAAAGGTTCCCCATTAGTTGTCCTGTCACAAAACAAATATACTATTGTTGTCCTATTGGTCTCACTAAAGGACGGTTTGGAAAGCCACTCTGGTCAATCCAAGAATTATTTAAAGGGATTTTTTATTGTATCTTCAACAATTTCAGTAGAGAAAACTTGCGTGAATACTCAATTAACGTGTATTATTTAATCTATACTAACAAATACTTATGACGATACCTTTGCAGAAACATTAACAACAAAGTTCAAACTTTAAAGCATGTCCTCAAAAACAACAATTAATGCCTGTAAAAACAAATCAGAATCGATTACAATAGGGATGAGCTTTGGTGGATATAACTTAATGCTAAATCAGCAAAGAACAACAGTAGAAATGTGGACACCTAATGGGTGGAAAATCAGTTTCAGAAGGCAAGTAAATGACTGGAAAATCACAAGAGCGTAGAATTCTTTAACACTATTGGCCAGTTTAAAATAACAAAAGTAGAAGAAGATGAACTTTGGTGGCAAGGCAGTGACAGAGGAAACTTCCAGGTTGGCAAAGCATACAGATGGTTGAATAGGCACAACCAACAGAAAGTCAATCGGCCCTGGAAAATTATATGGAAGGTGAATATACCCTACATGGTAGCATGTTTTGTTTGGCTCCTACTCTTAATGAAGTTTTCCTTACACAATCTGATGAAAAGGGAGATAACTCTTATGTCCCAAATGTGTTTTTTGTGGAGAACAAGCTGAAACTATCAGACACTTGTTCCTTCCTTGCAAGTTCACAGGTCAGCTTTGGAGGCTATTCATAAACCTTAAGGTTTCTCCTGGACTATGCCAGAAAAGGTGACAGAGGCCCTCCAAAGCTGGGGTTTAGGACAAAAAACAGATGTAGGTGGAGAATCATACGAGCCAGCATATGGTGGACAATTTGGATAGAGAGAAATACTAGGTGTTTTAAGAACATAGAGAAGAGTACAGAACAGATAATATTGAACTGTATCTTGATACTATATTTTTGGTGTAAATAGATTTGGTTTAATGATCTTGTATCTATTATTGATGTGTTAGATTCATTATATACATAGGATCAGACACTCTCGATTTACATGTAAATATGGTCCTAGTACAACCCATGTACTGATTTGTTTCTATCTATCTCTCTCTCTCTCTCTCTCTCTATATATATATATATAGATAGATAGATAGATATAAAGTTACCAGTTTAAAAAAAAAAGGTTTTTTAATGACTGAGAAATCCATATGAGGCCAACCCTTAGGACCAACCTCAACCTTCAGAACTTGGGGATAACAGACCTGTCCCTCTGTATTTATCCACATAAATACCAGAAGTTAGTTCGCATGGCACAAGGTTCGAACCTATGACCTAAATCACAAGTCCCTCAACCTTTGTAAAAAGTCTTCTCTCTTGTTGACTCATAAAACTAAAAAAGATGGATTTGTTGTTTGATGCAAGTACCTAAATTTTATTCACTGAAAAATAAAACAAAGTAATAGCTGAGTATGCAGAATGTGGATAGCTCGACATACTGCTCCATTTTGTAAGTGGAAATTTGCAACCGAATCTAGAGCTTTTCCTCTCTTTTTTTCTTTCATAAGGTACCTGTTGCAAGCAAGCAAACAACAATACAAAAACTTAATGTATGACACTATCTCAAGACTGCAAACTTTCACGTGATTGAAAAGCATGTTAGCCTCAGTATGTAAGCTGTACAGCCATAAATGCCATAACAGGCTTTTAATCATTGTGAAGCAGATAATCCTTGACATAAAAGAAACATCTCTTTGGAATGGAAAGTTTTTACAATCTATTGCACTTCTACATAGAATCTTTCAAATGCATCGAGTATTTAGCTTTAGCATACCTGGCACAAAGTCGCATCATAAGGGCTCTCAACGCAGATAGCACATTAGGTGAATTGGTCCATTCATGGTTTTTTGATGTCAATACATTCCACATTACTTCAATACCGCTGCTTCCCAAGTCAGAACCTTTGCAACAAAAGAGATATAATCAGGACATAAATTTGTTTCTTGGTAAGTTACAACAACATTCTCAGGTAACGAAAATAACAATTGTGTTTTGCATTGAAAAGAGTTCGCAATATTTTTATAATGAAATCTCTATTAAATATGAAGTTAATTGTTTCATATTTTTTTCTGTCTGAAGAAAAACATGTAATAGTAATGTGCTCCATTTAATTTTATGAAGGAATTATCCTAGAACAGACTTTGCATGGTTCAACCGTTGACCATCCTTCACCATGCTGCAGGAAAAAGGATAGAACACGTTCTGAAAATCCAAGCAAAAGTTTACTGAAAGAGAGAGAGTGACAAATCCCATGTTATTGGTTCCAAAATTGTAAGAATATATCCTCTCTATATTCTCAAGCCAGAAAATGTCATAAATACATGCGTACTGTGATGCATCCATAAGTGCCTTTTCCTCTTCCGGTCTAAGCAGAATTTCTTTGAAGGCAGAACTAGTCATCTCTGATATGTCCAACTTTTATAACATCCATTGCCTAAAACCAGTGACAGGACTAAGAGTAGCGAATACCTGCAGATTAGTTCTGTATATTAATTTCACAGGAAACCTTACTTGTAAGTAAACAGGTGGCGAGACCATGGTAGCATGTCATATTGTTCAAGTAAGAACTAAATATTTAATTATCAAACCTAAAAGCACCATAGAATTCAGCCAGATCAATTTAACAAGTAAAGTTGTAAACTGAAGTGCTGTAGAAGTTGAGGGCTGGGTCCTTGTTCAAATAGAACAAGCGAAGCACCATCACAGAAAATTATTTATATTCAGTAAATTAGTAATTCCATTAAAAATGTATTCTCCTCATAGAGATTCAAAACTTGCATCTCAAGGAGAGAGAATTGGTACAACTACTTTAAAGAGTTCTACAAAAGCATCAACTTCTCAACATGTTAACTCCATGTCGCAGAGGAAGTTTACATTTTAGTTGGTAAAAAAACTCCATTAGATGAGATGTCGTAACTTACACAGATATTGGGCATATCTTTTTTCACCACATCAACCACACGTTTGATTAGAAACTTCCCTAGGTTGACTCCTGATAAGCCAGGCTGCATGTTGAAAAGAATAAGGTGCTCTCTTAGACAAAGGACACCATCAAAATAATAGAATATGAGTATAAAAAGTTGAAGGCCAATACTAAGAGCTTGTTTGGATTGGCTTATTTCATGTGCTTTTATGCCGAATAGCTTTTAAGCACTTTTGTAGTGTTTGGGTAAGATAAAAAAATATTTTTAAGCACCTATTTTTAAGACAAAATCACAAAAATACGTCAAAAGTCATAAGTTAGGATTCCTAACTTATTCGTATAGACCGTAAGTTGTAAGTCTAGGGGAGGATCAATAGAGTGACAATGAACCCCCTCGACAAAAAAAAAATACGAATGTCTAAGGTATAAGATTGTTGGTTTAGTGGCTGTGGGGTTTATATATTTATCTTGAGGTTCCAAGTCCAAATCTCAAGAACTACATCTTTCTTGGAAGATCGGCAGCAAAGGGGTTCTCATGCACTGAAAGGTTGTTTCGATATACTCTCGGCTTCAAATGAGTAAAATCAAAGCAGGATTTGAAGGAAAACAGTGACAGCAAAATGACAAGATAAATAAAGCAAATGAAGTAACAAGTAAAATTGAAGAATAAGATACTACGCGGATACTAAATAGTAATACTAAATAGGAGAAGAGGAGACTAGCCCCATGTCTCTCTAGGAAATTTTCCGCGAATAACAAACACAAATCCAATTTCCAAAACCAGATCCAACTACTCACTTTTATTTCTCCAAAAATAAGAAACATACCAAGCCATTTTCAAATTCAAATTTTACCTTAGAAATCTAGAGCTCTTCAGACCTAAGATGGTAAACGTACTTGAGTTGATGAAATAGAGTAAAAGATAGCACAAGAAGCCTCATGTTCAGAAATTGGAGGATTATCCCATAAGACCTCTTGCAATAAGTAGAGAGTCCTTAATGGAAGTGAGCAGTTACAAAGTTAAACTAGACGAATTCAAGACTTTCACCTGTATGGATGCTGCCACATCCTTCACAAGTGCAACTTCAATAAAAATAAGTGATTCACCTGAAGAGAAGTCAACAACATTAGGCTTGATTTTTTCTATTAAGAGGAAAGTAACAAGATGCTTTATCATCATGGATAGACAAGTATGGCAAGATCTGATTTGAGCAACTCTTCATGATGCCAAATCTCGAGAATTGATGAACCATATCTGGAGACAAAAAGTCCAGTATGATTCTTGAACTAGGACAACCATTCTCGCGCTTCTAGATCCAATCATCAAAGCCTGCCTGATGCTACTCCTACTTTTGTTTTGACAAAAATATCTTATATTGCATAAGTAAAATTTCTTGGAACTTTTGAGTAATATGAACCAAAGGTTAATATAAAAGTCCAACAGACTGCCTTAAGGCCAACTCTCCTTATTCCTGAAATTAATAAATCCACACTTCCGATTCTAGAAATAGTGCAACTCCTATAGACTGCTTCAGAAAGTGATGTATAAATTTGCATTTAATGACTTTGACCAGCATGGCTAAAATCAAGATCATATGCTAAATATCTCATAAGAAAGGATTCAAATCCTTGATCTTGTAATTCAACATGTTCACTCACATAAAGTGTCATTTTTAATCATGAAACACATGGGCAACAATAGGAAACAGAAGTCTAAGTAGAGTTCAACTCCTTAATCAAGATAGGGCTTACTAACCAGGTATTGCTGGATAGAAGTACTCAAAGCAGCGGCGACCTATTCCTAGCCTTTTTTCAGATCTATAAGATTGCTTATTGGATGCACAGCCTGTGTACAAGAAAAGTTTAGAAAAAATGTAATTTATATCAGATTTAATACATGTATGCAAAGTAGGAGGGAAAAAAAGTACCTCATACGCAACAATTTTTTCCAACAAAGATGCAGGACCATCCCATGTAATGTTGTGAAGCTCCAAATGAGCAGGACTAAGCCATGGAATCAGTTTCTCCTTTAGGTAGGAATACAATGCTCGCAGAGATGCTAGATTTACGTCTCCACAAATTCATTGAATAATCATCTATGAAGTTCCTGTTTCATAGTATAACTAATACAGAAATAAAAAACACATTTCCAATGAATCAGGAAATATTCCCTTGATCTTGTAATCAAGACACAGTGTTTGCACAAATGAGAAAAAGACAGATCACTTCATTTGGGACATAACCTTACTCGAGAAGATGAACAAATTAGCTCGAATATCAGACATGAATTTCAATCCCCCAGGATGTGTATTGAGACACTAAAAAAGAACTTCATACATAGGCTTGAGAGCCTGCCTCAAATTCCGCTCAATCCTGTAGAAAGCTGATAATGATCCTCTTCTTCATGACCACTATCTTCAGCCTTATCTGCCAAAGCTCTAAGCTTCTAAGCACAACTAACAAGATAATGTGATGAAGAATACACTCTCATAAGAATGAAAACACCTACCATTTGGGAGCTGAAGATCAAGATGCTGCTTCATTAACTCGCGAACTTGGGTCCAATTGAGATCATACTCTTTGGCTAGTGAAAGAAGCATATTATAACGATTTTCTGGGGAAAAGAGAAGGTATCCCTGCAAAGTTAACATTCAACAATTGCTAACTTCACAACAAACAAAGTATTAGTAGTAACAACGGAATATTTCATGCTGTGGTGAAAGTTCACCTCTGAAAATTCATCCAGAGCAACATTCACAATTTCTGTCTTGTTCGTCGACATGGCTGAGTGCATTGACTCCCGTACTTGGCTAAACTCTCTGAAATTGAACCATTATATTTAATTCCGAAAACATCATTCTTTTTTTCTTTGTTATTTCGGTGAATTTCATAATCTTACAATTCTAATTTTGATGGGTTTAATTTACACTGACATTTCCACTATCAAGTCATACTTAAAACGAACTATTGTTCTCAAAAAGAGGAGCTATGTAACCTCATATGAGTAACCTACACCGTCAAGGTGAAACTACCATCATCATATTAAAAATTGTTGATCCTAACATTAAGAAGCTATACTTGACCAGAAGACTTCAAATAAGAATGAAATGAAATTGTAGTCTGCTTATCAAACTACAAATCATATAAAAGTGCAATAAAATTGTAGACTGTATTAAAAACCTCTCTGGAAGAAGTGAAGCATCATGAGAAGAAACTTTATCACCTTCCAGTGGAGAGGTTTGCATTTTATTCAATTTGCTCTTGCTCTGCTTTCAATTCAATACCAAAAAAAGACTTAAATTAATGAAATCAGGCAAAAAAGAAGGAAATACGATTTGAGTAAAGCTTACAGAGGCAAAGGTAGGTGAAAGAAGTCGCATTTTGGTTCGCATAAGAATGGCGAGACCTTTCTTGTTCATCACTGCACTGCTAATATATACAAATCAAATTGTCTCTTCCATGATTTGGACTTAGCAGCTGCCATTAAACAGAAGAAATTCCTGGCAATACCAAAACGACAACATCCCATGGGTCGGACTTAGTACATCATTGATAAAGCCCAAACAACGTTCCATCTTTTTACTGGTATTAGAGAGTTTTTTTATGAAAAAATTAGCAAGCTAGTCAAACTTACTAATATAATTATTAAAAATATCTATACTTTAAAATAACTAATAAAAATGTCAATATGTTATAAATTAAATGTATCCTAATAAAATTAATTTTCTTTCCTTTTATTTCTCAAATCAGGCCCCACATTCCACTAATATTTGCATTCATTCAATATCTCATGTTCTATAGTTTATGAATCTTATATTTGTTTCTAACTGAATCCATCTCAAATGTATACCAACTATGGATAAGGATCTCCTCAAGTATAATTAGGTCAAGTAATGTTCAATGACCTTATAGATGCATGTCATGTGTATGATATGATTATTTATGATTGAGATTCATTTAAATTATATACTCATCTAAATAATAAAAACAATAATGTTGTCAACTAGTTTAATTTTTTAAAATTATTGAATAAAATAATTAAGTGTATATCCAAGCTTATAATTTTTTTAAAAATAATTAAGATTGAAAAAGAAAATTTAAATATACCTGATTGAAAGTATTTACATTATCAAATAGAGTCTTATCTTGAACTCTTGATCTGCATACCTGCCAGTATTAATTTTTTTGTTCTTGAAATATTAGCTTGAGTACACTTAATTGCTTTATTTGATAGTTTAAAAAAAAATAAAAATAGTTGACAGCTTTGTTGTTTGTATTATTAAGATTAGTATATAATTTAAATTTATTATTAAGATAGGTATATAATTTAAATGAATCTCAACCATAAATTATCATATAGTGCACATGACATGAATCTATAAGGTTATTGAACATTACTTGACTTAATTATACTTGACCAGATCTTTATTCACCAACTAGATATGTATTTTATTTATATGAAGAACAACTTCCTATTAGTTTCTTTTTTTTTATAATAAAAAATTCAGAATTTTGTATCCTTTCTCAATTTGTATTTAAAATCGTATCTATACACTTAATATTTTTATTTATTCAAAAATCATGTTGCATAGTTTATAAATCTGATATTTGTTCCTAATTTGTATTCATTTTAAAGGTATGTCAACTAGTTATGTATTTTATTTAAGAATTATTACAACAAATATTCACTTATTCCTTTTGAATTTTATATTTCATTCTCACTTTTTCATCATACTATTTTTTTGTATTTTATATATTATTATACAAAATTCTAAACAAAAAGTAGAATAAATAGAAATACAAATAAAATACATATTGGAATGAATACAAAATACAAGATATTTGAAGAAAAAATAAATACGCAGGAAAAAAAAAAATGAATACAAATATGTTTCTTAAATAACTATAGATTCATTTGGCATACATATTAGAATGAATACTAAGAAAAAAAAAATACAAGTTTCATTATACAAAGTACAACATAAAACTATAATGAATATAAATAGAATACATTGTGGAATGAATACAAAATTAAGGCATAAAACTATAATGAATATAAATAGAATACATCCTGGAATGAATACAATTCCTTACCTTTTTTTGAAATATTCTCTCCCTTGATTTTCTCCCTTTTGTTATTAAATAATTGTATTGTTTAAATAAAAACAAATATTTAAAACATAAATAAGATACATAACAAATTAAAATTTTGAGATTTTTACTAAATATTGAAAGTGTTGCTAATGAGTCCTCTTAAATGTCAAAATATTGACATTTTAAAAAATTTTCCTTTATTTATTTATTCAACTATTTATATTAGGAAAAACTTTAGAGTTTGGCAAACATCCATATATATAAGAAAACTAGCTATGTTTTATTTTTCTCATATTATATGAATTATAATTAGATTATAAATAGCAAAATTAATTTTATACAAATAAAATACTTATACTTATATATATATATATATATATATATATATATATGTATATAATAAATATTAAATAGGAAATTAATTATAATTGAATGCTTAATTAATTATAGCAGGCACATTTGTGATCTTTTTTCATGTTCGCCATCATCAAAAAAATTTCTTTCGTCAATATTCATACATCACATATTGTTTGTTTTACCCAAATTCATTCAAATTCAAGATACTTTGCTACAGGAAGATTTTTCTGATTTTGTATCCATCAGGTATCTTTTAATTGCATATTTATCTCGAACTTATACAGTTTGATACCCCCAAATTGTATTTTTTTTTACTCGTTTATCTAATGTATTTATACTTATACAATTTGATACCCACAAATTGTATCTTTTTTACAAGCTTGTATAATGTATCCATATTTTTGCTTAACAACAATGACCAATGTTGAAATGTATCCATATTTATATGCATAGATACTTGTATTGTTATATAAGCACAAGTTAAAATGTTAATTTACGAATACAGTTATATCTATACATATGTACTATATTGAAGATTAAAAGTTGAATAGGGAATACAAGTATAGTTGAATCTAACAGATTCATTTTTGTGTTTAACAACAATATATTCATTGTATTCTATATTGGTGTACTTATTTTTTTGTTTAGCAACGAGTGTATTCAAAATCGAAATACTTAACCTTCATTCACAAATTCAATAATTTGTTACAATAATAACTTGAATTAATGAAAAAAAAATTATTAATACCTTTACGACGCCAGAATAAGAAATATGGAGACAACAAAAATTTTGTTAAACTGATAAAGAATATGATCTGATATGTCTTTAAATAAATATTTTTTTGAGAAAATTACGTGGAATGACAAACATTCATAAGTAATTAGCTAATAAGGGCATAGTTTAATTTATTTAGAGCCTGTTTGGCTCAGTTTAAAAGCTGGTCAAACTGACTTAAAAGCTGATTTTTGACTTATTTAACTGTTTGACAATACTCAAAATAGCTTATTTTAAGTTAAAAAAAAACTTATTTTAAGCCAAAAGTTAAAAGCTGGGGTAGGGGTGCTTTTTTTTTTAGCTTATAAGCTGTTTTAAGTTGACCATATTTTTATGTTTTTCCCTTAATATTTTTATACAATCTCCAAATTACCCATATAACCCTAACATCTCTTTCTTCTATTTTCCCCTTTTCACGTTTGGCATAACAACTTCAGCACTTTTATCCAAACGCATAACTGCTTATTTTAAAAATAAGTTTCAGCACTTTCAAAAGTACTTTTTTAAAGCTGCTTTTATTAAGCCCATCCAAACGGGCCCTTACTCTCAATAATTATAGTTTCATTTTTTGCCATAATTAATAGGACTCACCACCTCTTTGTATACCCAACCATAAAAGATCTTTTTATCTTCTCTATACAATTTTATATAAAATCAATTTTATCTCTCCTATACCCGGTCCATATCATTCTCCTAAAATCACTCCTTCACTCCTATTTTGAATTTTGAATCTAGGAAAATTTCGCATTCCTTCTCCTGTCTTACTTTCATGAATTCATTTTATTTATTTTTTCCTTCATCAACATAATTATATATGTATTATGCTTGTTAGTTTTTTCATATATTTTTTTTATAAAAATCTTTTTTTATCAGATTATAAGTTCTTGAGAATTGAGGATTCATCTTCATATATGAGGATTACCAGAGGTATGTATGTTAATATTGTTGATAATCAGCCTTTGTTATCAATTGGATAAACTCAGGATTTCGGGGTCAATATAGGGTATATGGCGAAACATAAACAAGTTCAAGTTGAATAATCTATTGAATTTAGATTCAAGAAAAAGAAAAGACCCAATGACAATTCCAAAAGTCATCAACAACGCGAAATCTAGCGACGTTAAGATTGTTGAAGGTTGAAGTAAGAGAAAAGTCAGAAACATAAGCCCAGAGAATATTGGATCTGCCTCATCAAAACTGGACAGAACTAGACAATTCTGAAGAATATCAAGAACATCAGGTAGTGTAATTTATATACAAATTATTCAAGTTATGTATATAGTGGGAGTATATTAAGGTAATAGATACAAAGTATTATCAGACAATTGCTATCTATATAGGGAAAATTTCATATATGACAAACATAATTTAAGAAATAACATATATAGGTATAGTTTATATAATTACATTCTATGGGTATAATTTAGTTTGTTATGTATCTTTTAATTTGTATAAAATATTTTTTTATTTTTAATTTATTTAATATTTTACTTTTTTATTTAATGGTAACAATAGCTCTAATACAGTAACAAACATTTACACAATCCCATGATTTAAGCTAACCATTCAAAATCAAATATTTTCCCATTTTTTAAAACAAATCGTATGTAAACCCATACGAGACCGGAAAGGAAGCTAGCGAACCTAGGGTCAACACCAAGGTAGGGGCAAAAGGGAAAAGAACGATGTTTGATGTGAACGGAAGCACACATTTCGCTAAGAAAGCAAAACAGGACTTATCAATGGATATAACCCTTTTGGTATGAATAGTTTATCGGTTTGGGCATGGATGTTCTTATTTGGACATCTTGTTTGGGCTACTGGATTTATGTTCTTAATTTCTTGGCGTGGATATTGGCAGGAATTGATTGAAACTTTAGCATGGGCTCACGAACGCACACCTTTGGCCAATTTGATAACTCAGATGTTAATGATTTTATTTGTATATATATAAATTGATTATATTGTATATATTTGAGAAATTGTATATAAGTTTTTATACAATTTGTATTACATGTTATTAAATGTATATGTGACCATCATAATATGAAAATTGTATATATGACATTCGTATTTTTTTTTTTAAGAAAAAGTATGTTGTGTTTGTTTTTAATTATTTTGTATAGTCTATTTGTATACAATATTTTATTATGATCATTTTCTTTTGTATATATCTAGGAATTTGTATAATATACAATAATTTTGTATGTGGATTATATTTGTATATGCGCATATGTAATTTCGTGTTTTTTTAAAAAAATTAATGATTAAAATGATTGTATAATATTCATTTGTTAGTTGTATATATGGTAAGCTTGAAATATGTTTGTATATCTGAGTAATATTTACATAAACAATATTTTATAATGTTCATAATTTTTTTGT